AGAAATATGTAAAAGTGTAAAAATATTACGTTTTTAGAAGTATATTCGTCGTAGAGAAGTTGGACTGTGTTTGGAAAATAAGTGACGAAGCGGCCACTGGATTAATCGCTGACATGGGGCCATGGATTTGCTCGAATACAGCCGCATTGGCATTGGTAGTGCCAGTGCCAGTAGCAGTCGCAGTTGGTCTGCAGCAACCGATAACGCGCTGACGTAGTTAAACATATTGTAATTGCTGACTGCTGGCTGCCAGAACAAGTTTCAGCCTGTGCCCTGGGCGCTGGGCTTACTTACTTGGCTTTGGCTGTATTGACGGCGGTAGCATGGTAGGACCGTTGGCTGACTGGCTGGCTGGCTGGCTGGCCGACTCGCCACATCCTCTATCTGGCTTAGCATCAGATTACCACTCTATATATCGCAGTGGCAAACAAAGGCGCAGAAGCACACACAGAGCCAAACGACAGCCAATAAATGGAAAGCGTCTCTGCCTCTGATTTTTGTGGATCAACAAGTCCGTGCGCCGCTCTTCATGGTCGTCGCCATCGTCGTCGGCTGCTATAGTCAGCCGCACAGTAGCCGTTCGATAATTTGCTATGGCATTCCAAGTGTATGTCTCCTTATCCCCCATGTCAATCAAGTACCTAATTATTCTTACGGCTGCCGTTGTTGCCGTTGAAGTCAAATGCAAAAGATAATTGGCGTTTTGGGGCCGATGCGAATCGACAAGGATATCAATTTCAATATAATATACGAACGCCAAAAATAATTGCCATATGATTTGGCAACAGTTTTTTTGTATTTGGGGCCATTATGACAAACAATCAAAAGGCGAGGTACACTTGGAAGGCGCAACAACGGCGCATCGCGCATGCGTTGTTGGCTCGCCACAGACAGGCTGGTTAATCAACACAGCTAAAATCCAATTAAGTCAATAAAAAACATAAAACAGACACAATAATAACAAATAGTAATATAGACAACAAAAGAAAAAAGACAACAAGTAAATTTGTATGTACGAGTATAATCAATGAAAAATCGGACACTCACTAATAACTCACACTTAAAAGATTTCAGCCGATTAAGTTTTGTGTCTCAATCTATATACATAGGGTTAAACTTGACTTCTAATATTTTTCAGGCAAAATTTGCAGCCTTTTTAAAGCTAAAGCAAAAAATTTCAGAAAATCTAGGGGAATACATTCAATATAGGCTAGGGTGTCACTGTCCGGCCCCTGTTTAAGTGATTAACCTTAAAAAACCAACTTGAGGTGCTACTTAAGACTACTAACTAGATATATGTGGATACCTTACCAACCACAGTTGGCAGCAGATCAATCTTTATATATATATCAGACAGCAAAAAAGCCCATAAGGCGGTAGAATCTAATTTGGATAACTCCAAGGTTTTTACCGACTGCTGTAGATCTATTAACAAGATGTCCTAGCAATTCAGGATTAACCTCATATCGAGGGCAACTGTATTGCAGATGAGCTGGGAAGGGAAGGAACTACTTCATGTATCCTAGTAAGCACGCACAGTCAATGTTCCGGCGGCGCTGATTAAAATAATGGGAAGAATGGGAATGGGAAATGGGAAATAATGGGACACCAATAGAGCATCAAAGGTTAGAAGTTCTTTTGGTATTGGAGGCACTTACAGGCCACTGGTTGACAGACACATCTCTTTTAACGATTTATGCAGAAGTTGCGGAGATGAAAAAAAGGAGGAAAGCGTTGGGCACCTCCTCTGCCGCTCCCTTGCACTCAGCAGGAGTAGATTCATTGCTCTAGGCCAACCTATTTTAAGCAATCTCACTTAGTTACCAAAAATATAGATCGGGTGGTTTGCCAACTCATTTACAAGCCTGAATGTTTTACTTTTAATTGTAAATATTTTAAAATTTTCAGGGATCGTATAAATAAAAATCGTCTATTCTTAACTGATCTATCTGATTTGTGTTCGCATTGTGTTTATACTTTAATCACCTCACTCGGTTCGAATATAAGCTCTTTAAGGTCCAATATCTTAGAAATACTATTGTTTTTCTAACAATACAAAATAAAACTTGTGAGAAACGTTTTCCAATTAACGATCATTTCCACTTATTACAAAGAAAGCAAAAAAAGTAATAATATAAAACAAAAACGTAAAACTGATTTTAATTTTAATTTCCATAATTATGCTTGTTCCAACATTTTAAATCACTTCAACTACAGCTTGACCGTTATTAGTTGTTTAAAGCGTTAACCGCTCACAACAAAAATGCAGCCACACAGCATACTGGTAACATTTCGCAAGAAGACCACGTCGAATTCTGTTTGCATTTATCTATGAATAGTAATCAGGCTAAGAACAAGGCTCACATGCCCTGCGCCATGCCTGTCGTTCGGACCAATTCGACGAAGTGCGCGCGCTGATAAACGTGCGCTATAGCGTTCTATATGGAATCGAGTTGTGTCGAGTTGAGTGGAGTCTAGGCACATAGCTTTAAGTGTAATGAAATCACACTGCGCTGCACATTAACAGCGAATGGAGAGAGCGTAAGGTGGGGGTAAGGAACAGAATGCAACGACACTTTGTACGTCGTTGTGTAAAACGATTGGCGCGTTAATCAACGTACAAATTTTCGACTTATATGGCCAGCGAATTAAATCGTTCCCTCGAGATCGCTTGCAATGACAGCTTGCGATTAGAACTGGAGCGATAAATTATACAATTGTGCTAGGCAGCCGGCACTATAACCGGCCTGATCGACAAAGCAGCCAAGTGGCTGCGTGAGAGCGCCAATCGAAGATGCCCAGTGCTCGGTTTTTAATGTCCGCCTGGCTCGTTCATCGCCCATGCGCGCTGTTTGCAGTTTGTGACAATTACACTGATTATATTACATATATGAAGCCCATATATGGACCTGGGCAGACCAAGTGCTAACAGGAAGTCAAGAACGCCGACGGGTGTCTGTGGAAAATTTGATTTTCTTGTGTCAATTTGTACGCTACGACTTTAGTGCAATGTGGGTCGGCGCCGCAAGGTATGCAACAGAAACATGCAAGCTAAAAAGCTATATGCAACCTATGGAAATTAGTGAGCAAGTAAAAAATGAAAAATGAAAAAGAACACCAGCCCTTGTACACATATTTGACTTTGCTGGTTCTGTTATTGCTGCGACTGTTTAGCTACAATTTTCGTGCCGTGGCATGAAAAATCAATTATGTTAGTTGAACTTTTTGAGCTAAACGCTAAACAATTGCGCATAATTACGGGCGTAAACTCAAGTCAAACGACTGCATTGCCTCAATTTGTGCATTTGCATTTGCAGGCCCTTGAGAATGTGTCTATGTGTGTTTATATGCGATTGTGTTGTGTTATGCTTTGTAGCACAGCCACTAATAGCACCACCAACAACAACAACAACAATTATAGTTCAAGCTGGCAAAAGTTAACGACCGCGCAATTGAGGAAATGCACAAAGGCCAGCGCTAGTCGCATTACCTGCACCGCCACGAATCCAAAAGAATGCAAAACTCTTTCCTTAGAATATGCTAAAAGCATAGAAGAGAGCGGGGCCCTAAAATAACGGCTTGAAAGTCGCATAATAATACAACCGACTATTCTCAACAAAGTTCATAGATGCGTATACGTATAAATTATGTAGTTAATAGAAATATTAAAATGGTGAAGATTTTGAGACGTGTTTGCAAAATAATCCCAAACTTAAACCAAGCAAAATATCACTTAAGTACACTTTTGCCGCAAAATCGTACGTTTTATGAGAAAGACAAAAGGGTTCTTGAATACCATTAGGACGAGTCGTCTAGAAAGGTCCATCTGTCTGCATGAACGCAGGGTTCTCTACAGTCTACAAACTTGTTATGCATGTTCTCTTAGCTCTGGGAAAGGACAAGGTTATGTGTTTTCTCCGATAAATTTGCTTCTCCCAACTAAGGAATCAGCTTTTGGGGAAGTTGCCCACGTTGTCCGAAGCATAATTAGGTAATACACAATATACACTAGGTTTATAGTATAGCACGTACTACACGGGTTTGCAACACTTAAGTGATAGATAAGGGTATTCTTTATTTTTCTACTTACCTGGTGCAGCTAACTGCATTGGCAGAGTTGTCGGACGCAATTGGTCCCCAAATATCGTTCACACTTTTATTTCACAAGCACTGTTTTTTTTCGTTACACGAGTTTTTTGCAATACGCGACTATAGTCCTTACGACGAAAATATATTGCTTGCTTTCTTAATTACAGTAGCACATTACTCGAATACTTTGAACCAACACTTTGTGCATTTCCTGTAATTACGTAGGAGTCAAATGTCATTAATTCAGTTTATGTTTCTTTCAATATTCACAATCAGACACTATGGAGACGGAAAAATGGCTCGTAGTTATCGATCAACAAACTGTTATTGAGAGTATATCGGTATTGCAGGTGTGCAATTCGAAATTCGACATTATTGACAAAAAGCATGTGAATGTTCATACACACGTATGTACATACATACATATGTATACTTGACAGCCTTTGAACCGTAGTCATGCATTTGTATAAGTATGTACATACAAATCTATTACCGGCATCCATTAATTAAAAATGCAAACTTGTTATGTCACCTCGAGCAGCCTCCGACATCGCCTGGGATACAGCGTTATCAAGTTCATATGCTTTAAAAGGATTAGTTCAAAATTGAGACAGCCGTGGTTGTAAAATGTGCAATGCCAATGGCAAGATCAACTGGTCCGTCCGTAGTATTTGGCCAACAAGAGGAAAGTTTATACGAGTCTCTTAAGGTGAGCAGGGCGGTGTTTTTGGAATTCGAAATCATCGAGTAGACTTGGCAGCTTGCAGCAAGCATTAAAAATAATTGTAATTTTTCATTATTCCTTATTAAGACATTTTTAGCATTTGCTTTTACATTGCAAAATACACAAACACACTCAGGGACTATTATTTCCTTTAAACAAATTACTTGTATCCTGTGCAGCTGTGTATGTTGGATACAGGGTGCCAACTTTGAATTCGGAAATTTGCTGCTTGTTGTATAACTCGCATAACTGAAACGTGACGTAACAGTTAGCTTTCTGTTCGGGGCACTGTGCACAATGCTGCCAACTGGTGCGCACACGAAGAGCTGAGAAGCAGAGAAAAAACAAATACGAAGCAAAAAGTGTAAAGTTCGCGAGAACTCGAATTGTAAGTAGGATCGTGTTTTGTGCATAAAACAAAAGCAAAATACGCACAAAAAATTTGGAATTGTATAGAGTGATTGAGTCGAAGCACCGCGGAGTGTACGCCCAGCGAAAATCCGAATAGAAGTATAACCTACGTTAACGTTACCACCTGTGCTGTCCCTGCCCCTTCCAATTTTTTCCACTTGCACACACACACAGACACTTCCATACAATTCTTTTCGCTTTGCGAAATCTAAGACGAAGGCCAAACGACTAAGCAACCAATATCAAGCAAGCAGCCAAAATCAACACAACAAATGCGTGCGGGAGCGCTTGAAAGTATATTTTAGTTAAATTGCAACAGCAATTTGCAGTGTCACTGAGGCAGTTGCTTACAAAGCTTTTCGCCCAGGCTCTGCCTCCGCCACACACACTCAATCAAGATGTCGGTGCGAACAAAAGTGTTAAGTTTTGTGGACGTAATGATGCGCGTGCCCCCCATCATGGTCATTGACGAGATACTCAAAGTAGGCATGGGTCTGCCAACGCGGCTGTATCCCAATTCGGTAACCAAGGATACAGATGGAGGTCAAGCGGCGGCCCCAACAGACGCCAGCAACAGCACATATGCCGTACTCAGGCGAACATTCTTTGGCCTAATCGGTGACGACGCGGCCGCCTCTGCCATTAACACCACACAAGCAATGCTGGAACGAAGCATAGACAATGCATCGAAGACAGCGCAGACGGGCGGCATGCTCAGCTCCTCTTTCAATGCGCTTATGGATGAGCTAGCACAGGATGCCACACTGGCGGACATTCTGACTATGACCACGGTGAAATTTGTGATCTGTTTATTAGGTGAGTTGCGCACCACGTCATTCAGTTGGTGCTGCTTGGCCGCCGGCCAATTACTGCGCGCTTATCGCAACACGGCACCGTGTTGTGTACTTTACACTCCTCAGCTGTCTGCATAAACAATAACATTATAAAACAACATTAACATATAAATTATTTTTCGTTGCCCATTTTCGATCAGGTTTCCTGAGTGCTTCATGCATTTTCATGCTGTGGACGCGGCATCTGGTGATGGTATATATGTTTCTTACCTCGTTAGGCTTGACATTTCTCTCCTACTGGTCAAATGTTTCCGCCTTGGCGCTGATGGAGCGCAGTCCAAGCATTTTGGAGGACGTGTTGTCCATGAACACGACACGGTTGCTGGACTCTGGAGGCGTGGTAATGTCCCTGGCGCCACATTTAATGGCTCAGTGGTTTATGGGAATGCTGTTTGCCTACATTCACCTGGGTCCACGTTTTGCGTTGCTGCAAAAGTCAATGCCAATTATCTTTACTAGTCCCATTCTATTGGCCATGTTGCCTCTGCCCCCGCGGCTGATTGGACATCTGCCAGTAATTGCGGGCGTCACACCAATTATTTTAACAATGATTACACTGATGAAAAGCGCGATGGAAGCGAGCAAGACCGTCTACAATGGCTATCAGTATGCCATGAACTTTGTATCCAACTTTGGACTCTCGGCTCTCATCGAAAACGAGTGGCAGAGGCTTAATGTGCCCAGTGTTTTACGCGTATTCTGGACCCTAAGGTAAGCATATCAATACTCCCAAATAGTGGCCAATGACATAATGCCATATCCACAACTTCAGAATCATTCAAGGCGGCTACGCGCTGATCAATTCCGACACGCCGCTACCTTTGCTGCCCGCAGTTCAGAAACTGCTCGTGGATGGCTGTGAAACACTGACTGCTGTGCTTGGTATGACTGCCGTAATCTCGGTTGTCTGCCATTACATTGGACGTGGCTTTCAGTGGTACCTGCTCACATACGACAACGATGAGGAGAAATCATTGGGTACCGTCTCGGCTGTACTTTTCTATATATTGGCGCTTCAGACAGGTCTAACCTCGCTCTCGCCTGATAAGCGTTTTGTGCGCTTGTGTCGCAACCTGTGCCTACTTGTCACAGCCCTACTGCACTTTCTACATAACATCGTATCACCTATCTTAATGTCTTTGAGTGCGGCACGCAATCCATCGCGCAAACGGCACGTGCGCGCCTTGTCTGTCTGTGCCTTTCTCATTGTGGTGCCCATTTGCCTGCTCTTCTTTCTGTGGACACAGCACTCGCCCTCCACTTGGTTGCTTGCTGTTACTGCCTTCTCCGTGGAGGTCGTCGTGAAGGTGAGTATTTTAGAAATAGAGTTCAGAGTGATAGAATTTTATGGTAGCCCATTGAAAGAAAAACTTACAATTAACAATTACGCAGCAACTTTTGAGATTATCAAAATATTCTATGATACAATTAATAATCACATACTAGATAAGACTGCCATTAAATATTCTACCGGAGATGAAAATAATTATAATTGAGCTTAATGATAATAAAATTCTATATGGTAGCTATTATAAATTAATTAAATGTATGAGTTTCTTTATTAAAAAGAGTTTATTTAGTTAGGTTTGTTATCAATGGAACTTAAAATGAGCTTCATGAAATTGTGTGTGTTTGATGTAATTTTATGTTCTTTTTAAGGTGCTTGTCTCGTTGGCCACCTACACTCTGTTTTCAATCGATGCCCGCCGACAGTTTTTCTGGGAGAAATTAGACGATTATCTATACTATGTGCGGGCTTTCGGGAACTCGGTGGAATTCTGCTTTGGAATATTGCTTTTCATCAATGGAGCCTGGATTCTAGTTTTTGAATCAGGTAAGATTTAAGCTTTAGCTTTAGTCTTATTTTTTTTTTTTTACATCAACGTATGAACCTGTAGTTTCCCTTTTTTATTTTCGCTAAACTTAACATTATTTCACGCTTTATTTGTATACTTCAATTCGTTGCTTATGCTTATCCCAAAACTTTTATGTTATGTGTGTGCATGTACTATTTTTATTTGGTTGATTTTGTGTACCGATAACTATAACTTGCTAGCCCAAAATGCTACAGGCGGCGCCATTAGAGCGATCATGATGTGCATCCACGCCTACTTTAATATTTGGTGCGAGGCCCGTGCGGGTTGGTCCGTGTTCATGAAGCGTCGATCTGCTGTTCACAAGATTTCGGCTCTCCCCGAGGCAACGCCCGCCCAGCTCCGAGCCTTTGATGATGTTTGCGCTATTTGCTATCAGGTAAGATGGAATTTCTTCACTGCATTTAACGAAATTGCTGATCTCGATTGTTTGCAGGAGATGTACTCAGCCAAAATAACCCGCTGCCGGCACTTCTTCCATGGCGTGTGCTTGCGCAAGTGGCTCTATGTACAGGATCGCTGTCCCTTGTGCCATGAGATCATGATGTATACCGACAAGGCGGAGAACAATGCCAACGAAACTGAGGAAGAGGCAGCAGCGGCGGCGGAACAACCGCTCCGCATTTATCCCCGAGATGTAAGTGGCCATTATATTTGTATGTTCTGCCTACTCTAAACTTCGGCACTTTCTAATTATAGGAAGCAAATAATGCTAATCCGGCACGTCATTCGCCTGATCGCGCACCTCCCGTGCCAGAGGCTTCCACGTCCACAGCAGCGCCTCCAGTAAATGCTGCCCAGGTGTCCAGTGCTGTCAATGCAGCAGCATCATCCACCTCCACACCTCTACCCGCAGGCATTGCCCCCAGTACGAGTAGTAGCAGTACCAGTAACTCCAGCTATATTACAGCGTCCGGCCAGCAGCCACCGCCGACGGCAACTTCAGCGGCTGCTGTGGCCACCGCAGCAGCCAGCAACACAACACACATGTTTCGAATGTCGCAGGATCAGCAATGAACCACTCAAACCGGCTGGCGAACTTTTGACACTTAGTACTCGCTTACATAAATCGAAACTTGCAACTGTAATTGTCCTATGTGTTAGTGTACTTATGTAAAGATGCATATAAAGGATCATACATTATATTCATAATTTAAGCCCCCCATCTGCTTTAATGGCGCTCACACATCGATTCAGAAACACTTTAACAGGCTTAATCTGATCTTCATAAGAAGCACATATAGACATTAATCTACACAAAAAATCAGAAAGAAAAATGTATGCCAAACACAGAACGACGATAGCTTCAATTTCGCAAACGCTAAATGTAATTATAAACCATATACATATATGTTATAATAAATTTAAGCGCCAAACTGTGGCAACTTCGAAATCTGTGCGCTGGAATTAACGAAAATGCTACCACAGATTTACGTAAAGTCTCTGGTTTAAAAAAATAAGTTCACCCAAAAATATTTACAAATACTTAGTGATAAGTTTGAAAAAAATAGTAAAAAAAACCAGGTGTAAAAAGTAACACAAAGAAAAAAACGATGTGGTGAAGTCTGAAAATGATTAAATCAACTACCAAGTAAAACTAGTTAAAAGGCAAAAGTGGAAACAAAACCAAGTAACAACAGTGAACCTATGTTGTATAATTGTAAATGTAAAAACTTGAATTAGCAAATGTTTTTGTTTTTATTATCTATTTACGTTTATTTAGCTTTAATTTAACTAGACGAAAAAGAAGCAGAAAAATACAGAAAATACAATACAATGTAAGTAAAATATGCAATCATTTTTCATTGACTAGACTGCCCAGTTTTTGGCTATTTGGCTAAGCAGCAACGAAAACTCCAATAACTCTTCGGCATTCGAAACCAGTTCTTCAGTTGAAAATCAAATCGTTGTAGTTTCGCAGCAAGTGGTACGGGGACACGCGACAGCATGTGGTTGTGCGAACCACTGTAATCCGATCGGCGCGTTCAAAATTGGCCTTCACGGTCTCGTAGTAACGTCCATCACTACATGAAGGTAAGAAAAACGTTAGACGCGTGTCTAGAAAGCAAGGTGGACATTTTCGAAAAGCGTCCCTCCCACATATTTTTGAAAAGTTTTACAAGAATTATAAGTATATTGGTCAACGTGGAGTGAGACATTGATAAAGAACACAATAAAGAACTATAGCCGTTAGATTTTGAATGCTGGAAAGGACAACTGCACTGGACCCATACCCGAACTCATACTCACCTCAGTACCATGCAGCGCAGCTTGAGGCATTTGACACGCAATATATCAATGGCCTTCTGGCTCTTGTCGGAGAATCGCAAGTTGTCGGGATCCCACCGCAACTCAAGTCGCTCCAAGTTGCCGCAGCTAGATGCAATCGTGTCCATAAGTTGATCAACGTGTATATTAACGCCCAACTTCTCAGCAGTGCCCATGACCACAATTCTATAAAAGGGAGCAAACCTTAAGTTAATTTGAAATAGGAAAGCAAACATTTAAGGTTGCGTACTTGCAGTTTCCCAGCAATGGAAGCACGCTCATCCACAACTGATCAGTGATGTGTGGCATGCCAGAGAGGCAGCAGGCACTCAACTGGTGGCCGTGGCGTTGTAGGAACTTCAACAGAGCCTCGTCAGTAATATTGTCCGAGGAGTCCAGGTCCAGAGATATGAGTGACCTAAACATGATAAATATTTAATTACAACTAAAAAAACTACAACCTACGCACCTGGTGGTTCCGGCCTCCATCCATTGCTTCAACACCGTATCGTTGAATCCGTTTATTTGACCGGCAGACAGGAACTTCAAGCTGGGTATGCGTGTGAGCATATCTACAAGGCATTCAGTGGACAAATCCGTTGCCGTTATGTCCAGCTCCTGCAAAGCGCACTTGTCCCATTCGGCTTGCATGACAAACTCCGATTTGAGGCTGGTGCCGTTCATCAGCAAGCAGGTGAGACGCTTGGAACGCTGAATCAGCGTCTTGAGCGTCGAGCCCGTGACCTTGTTGCAAAAATTAACGGCCAGGCACTCCAGCTGTATACAATTCGAGCTGAAAGCATCGATGTGCGAGTCGTCAATAAAATTGATGCCATATAAATTGATGACCCTCAGATTGGGCGTGGCCGACTTGAGCTTGTGGACATTGATGACTTCGTAGATTTCCTCCTCCTCCTCCTCGCACTTCTCGTAGGTGCCAATCAGATGGAGCACCTCCAGACCGTTGATGAAGTTGTAGATCTTCCGCATGAAACCCTCCATAAAGATTACCTCAGACAAACAGATGCACATGTAACGCAGCTTGGTGGGAAAGGCCTGCATCTCACTAAAATCATGCAGCTGCATGGCTAACCAGAATATATGAAGTCAAGCTCTGATTGGTTCCGGGATACCTCAATGCTTACCTGTCGAAAAGTCAAGCAGCATGTGCGTCAGATTGGGACACTTGGCGGAGAGCTCGTGGAGCACGGTGTGCGTGATCAGCTCAATGGGCAGCTCAATATAGCGAAGCGTCGGTCCAAAACGGACCGAGATCAGCTGCAACAGCATCTCCAGCGAGCCCACATGCAGTCCCGAAATTTCCGGACGCAGCGAGACATTCTTCCACAGGCGCGTATCGTAGGCAATCTGACGCCAGCGTCTACAAATCCTAGCCAGGCGACAGATCTCGCGGTGTGAGAGATATGAGAAAATATGCAGTAACACCTTGTCGGGCAATTTCTCGATCGTCTGAAAATGTGAGTGGAAATATTTTCAGATTTTTTCAGGAACACTCTCTTCGAACACTCTTTTCTTTTCTCATTTCTCTCTTCTAAACGCCTATATCCCGTGTAGCCGTATGCTATAATTCCAGACTTACGCACCGTATCCGCAAACGGACTGCGCACTGTGCCATCAGACAGATACACCTGGGATGCCTCCACGGCCAACTGACCCCAAATATCGGTGGAAATATCCATTTTTCAAGGCACCTTCACTGTATATAGTATAGATCTAGATACTGTCACTCGCGCACGCAGGCAGTTCAGATACACATATGAGAATTATATAAAAAGTGTCAGTCTCTAGCGTGGTACTCGAGCAACAGTATCCGTATCCGAGCACGATCGACTTCTATCTGAATCTGCAGCGGCCCATCGAAAACACAGCTACTTGTGCTACTGTGAGGAATCGGAATCTCCAAAAAACAGAAAACTATATGACACACTCACAGGCAGCTCAAGAGAACCTACTCGCGCGTATGTGGTTTCCTATTTATAGCTGAGCACGCAAAGAATTAAAGCGAAAGAATGGCTGCAGACGCGGTGCGCTAGTAACGCAGAAACAAACACAAACGCCAAGAATTTCTAGTGCATGCCCAGAGAGCGACGGTCAGTTGAACAGCTGTTGGCCCCGGCACCCACTCTAGATCCATTTACATATATCTACATACATATGTATGTATGTATATAGATACAAATATATGTATGTACTATATATGTATATTACATGGGCTCTGTTTGTTGTCGGAGCGGCAAGCTATACATATATACGCCATCGATCTGTTTGTTTTGTTTACTGCCGCCAGTTCGGATTCACTTCGGCACCTTGGGAGCATTCATACATGTACATATGTATGTAGATATGTATATAGTCTTGCGATACTCACCAGACGCGTCTTCACTGCCAAATTGTGCTCGTCACGTCCAATGGCTTGGGACGAGGTTTGCGCTGCCAAAACATTCCAATTATCCATTATGTGATAACACTCAGGTGGGAGGCAGGGTGCTACTTTGGACTTGGAATTAGGCTGATTGGTGTTCGTGTGCTGGTTCTAACGACTATATACAGGATGGCGCCGGTTCGTATAACTGTGTCGGTGTTTTGGTGTTCGTGCTGGTGCCTGTGTGGTGCATGCGTCTATAAGTAGACGTAAGTCATTCATTCATTCATTCATCATGAAAAATACAGATATCGTATAGTAAACGGTTTCAGTTTTTTGACAAACCTATAGTACAATGAAAATGCACAATGTTGGTAGCAAATTTCGGGATAGTTGTGTCAGCAACTGTTTGCCAGATGTGTCCTACAATATGACCAGTTTCTTTTCTAGAAAATCGGAGACTTGGCCTCGAGTTGAAATGGACTTTTGCATACTTTGGTTTTTCAAAACACTAATACCGTCTATTGGTGAATGCATAACTCTTCGATGACTTAAACTGTTGACATGCATGGTTTACTGAAGCAAGTGAGCACATATTTACCCATTATGCAAAATAATGTTAGTCGCTTTTAGTATAACTATAAAAATACAATAAGTATATAGTATGTTATTTCTCTTTTCACACCATGACGTCGAAATAGTGCACTAACTGAGGTATTTAGTAATGAGAACTACAAATTTGCACGTCATCATGCAAAAATGCATCTGATTATTATGCAAATTTTTAATTCTGTGCTTGTTCAATACCAACAATGCACACTAAAATGTTCACTGTCTACCCTAGGACTATTTATAGGCAAATGCTCTGTCTGTCTACAAATTTTCCTTTCGGTATAAGTACTGTAGAAATTTCGTAATGTCCACTATTACAAGGAAATACGGCGAAGACTCCGCATAGATTACACTTTTACTTTTATTACACGCTTCCGGGCACAGTAGTTTCTTATACGAAATACGGACTAGTTAGCCATAAAAAAGAAAAGCATAGTTGAAATATATCCCGATGTATGACTTGAATAACACCGAAATGTGTTCCGCGTAGTTGACTGCTTCACAACGTCCGTACAACTGAATGAATCGGGGCAGCAACGAGTCAGGCGTCCGCGAAAAATGTTTTTGCCAAAATGCACATGGCCCGAAGCGGCAGGAGGCGGAGCACAGAATAGGGGGGAACTTGGTGGCGGTGGCGTCGGCGCTGCAGTCGTAAGCGTTTTCACTGGGGGCAGACAAAGTTGCGCGCGTCATTTGTCTCAGCTGGCAGATTTTCTTTGGTACGACAGGGGTCCACAGGCATGAGGCACAGCCGATGGCGCCTGGCCAAAAACAAAAATTCAGAACCGTCATAGTTCTCGTTTGTAGCACAAAGGGTGACGACATAGGAGGGATCCCAGGCGTTCCTTATAGCAAGTAAAATATGTTTTAGAATTCTTCCCATATTCTTCTCAACTACACACAGCTGCTTATATGTAGCTTGTAGTTGCTGCTTGACGGAACCTCGATGTACATTTATGAAGGCCTCATGTATGTATATAGTAAAAGAAAAAGAGGTGCAATGTTAGCACCTCAGACGACCCACCTCAAGTTCTATTGGACTACAAAGTAACCTTAAACAACTTATGTATAAAACTCCGTCTTAAAACAAAATGGACCTATGGCTGTGAGCAAACGCTGTGGCTGTGGTAAACGCAAGCAGCAGAAACATTGAAGTCGTCCAAAGGGCGCATGATTGATTGATCGTATGATTGATTACATTTTTTTTAACTAAATTTAATAAAATATGAAAATATTTAAATAATAATAAATAAAATAACTAGTACTACACCCAGGTAAAATTATGAAAAGTTAACTTTCAACAGTTATTATAATACATACTCGTACTTATTCAAGTACACATATTTTATACCTTTGATAAAGAAATGTCAATTTTGACAAAAACAAAATTAACAAAATAACTGGGTCTATCTATGTATGTATGTAAAATTAGGAAATATAAACAACTGACCTTGTGGCAGAAGTGTAGCATCTTTCGTTATTGAAACGCAGTCTCCTGCTGATTTAACTATCACAACTTGCACCGCTTGCTGCTAGCTAGTGCTGCCTGACCATTATTAAAAGAACCTTTTTCCGACAGTGCATGCGTTGCCACACACTTTTACGCAGAAGCGTTCAAAAGCGGAGCAATTCAGCACAGCCGATTATTTTATAGTTGCCGAATGATTTTAATTGCAAATATAATTTTGCGATACAGATGAAGTCTGAACTTCTCGTGAAATATACCTTAACAATTTAATTAGAAATAAATAAATAATTCTGTTAGAAAGCACTCTAATTTTTATTCTTTACATCATTTTTATGCAATGTCTCTCAATATCAAGTATACAAGTTACAAGTTTGAAGATAACCGGGAAACATAAATTCAGTTTTTTCATACACGTCGAAGCCAGTTAATTTTGCAACCCATGATAATTTTGTGCTTTCAATACATACATACCTATTTGGCGAAAGAAAACCTACAGCATGATGAGTGGCTTCGCTTACCTTTTCAGTTGCTTTGCCTGAAGTCGTGTAAAGCAGCCCGTGAGATACAAATACATATGAATAAAGTTATATCTACATACACATATCTGTGTATACCGTGCTCATTCACTTTAAATACTCTGCGCTGGTGCGCTCTCTTCTTGTGGCGGCCACCTTAGGTGCGCTCTCCAGGGCGATTCTGATCGGATAATCAAAACATAAATTTCAGTCGAATTTTTGCTGCGCACGCCAACGGTTGCTTGTTAATTGCATCGGAGTTACATACATTTGTTGATAAACGTAGGTGTGTCAGCTCCAGTCAGCCTGCTTGTGTAAGTGTATCTAAGTATGTGTAAAGATATGTATGTGTCAGCGTTTGTGCCAAATAGTAGTTGGTTCCACAGGCGGTGTTATTCAGAAGTTATTAACAACTGTAGCGAAAGGAATAATAATGTATACGAGATGAGAAATAAGCAGTTCCTATTGTTTATGTTGGGTACAGTGCGCGATGCGCTTGCAACAAGTGTGTGTGTGTGTGTGTGTGTATCTGTGGGAGACGCTCAAGAGCAAGAAACCTGCGCGGTTGCATTTTGCGGTAAGAGAGCGTGAGCAGGTGAGCGTCACATGCACTGCCGTTACCATAGAAGCCGTTGATACGCGTCGTTTCTAGAGGACCGCCTCTAGCCAGTGTTCGGAGCTCAACGTTAAATTATAAACAAATTGCAATTAGTTTAAGTGCGTCTCAATTAAAGAGTTATTTATTAATTAGCATAACAATTCGACAGTTGAACTCAGTGAGCTTCGTCGGGTGTGCAGCCAGCAGCCTACACCCTACACCCTACACCATGTCGTACGCCGCAGAACGAGTGCTCTCTTACCTCTACCCCTTTATCATCATCACATCAGTGACATGCTGCATTACGTCGGCGGTGGCATGGACCCATTGGCGTTACGTGCTCAATGCCTGTCCTGACACCAATTGCGGATGCTATCTGCATGGACGCACAACATACAACAGCTTCGAGGGAGGCAACATAGGTTACTGCCATTATGCCACATACGGACTACTCTTTCCTCTCGTCTTTGCGGTGGTGCTGGGCGTCTACCATGGCTATCGCATGTGCATTGGCAAGGGCAAGCCCAAGGCGGGCACCACAACGATCAGACAGCGGTGAGTAAGTTTATTGTGAGCTAAGAAGTGTCCCACTTCTCGCCCCATATAATACGATGTCAGAGGTTAATCGGCAACAATAACTTGCGCGACACTCGCTCAAGGGTTTTAATTAGGCCTTATGCTAATGGAAGCCAAACAGAAGATGACTAATAAAGTGAATTTGATACTTTACGCAGTTCAATTAACATTTAAGTTTTCAGCAATTGCTCTCACCCTATTTTCGTTCTTTTGACTCTAGACATGTATGTTTAAATTTCTTGCAGCTCTGGCGATATGGTAGTGGTGACCACGGAGTCTGAACTGACACCGGATGGACTCTCGCCTTATTACTGTTAGTATGGTTTCTTTTGGGGTTTCTTAACTAAAGATTCACATCCAATTTTTAGGGCTACCTGCTACCGTTATCTCGGTCATTATGGCGATATATACTCTTGTTTATGCATCTGTATTCACTGATGGCTTCGAGGTTACCTGCAAGCAATATCGCGAATCCTTACTTAAGGAAATCCAAGGAGTGGGCAACATTGTTCCTGTCATTAAGGGCCGTTTGTCCTGCGCCGCAATTTTCGATTTCATGGACTATTTGGTCGAGAGTATCTCATACGAACGCCGAAGATATGGACGAATCAATAGTGCTGCGTGCATGTACTTTACGCTGGTTATGTCCTGGTTCACCGTATTTGCCTGGATTGCCCTTTGCGTCGTGAATATTGTTCATTTGCGGCGCACACGCTCCTCTAGAGTTTAAATATTGCAAGATAATGTCATAATATAACTTCCTTATTTTTAACTGTAAACACTCACCGCGACTTATTTAATAGCTTACACCATTCCATGTACACACGTCTGCGGTAAGTGCAGCCATTTATTGTACAAATAATTATATGCATGAACAACGATTATTCGCAATTAAAATGGAGATTCTTACAAATACCCTCTTTATATCGCCTTTGCGCAAATGCTGAATATGTGTATTTTTTTCCAAAATCAATTTGCGCAGAATGGTATAAAAAATATCTACTATGAAGAGTTTAATGATGTCTGTAGATGCTCTCATTGTGCTTTATTATTTTATTTTTTAATAATTTACTTTATTGAATAACGGATTGTGTATTTATGAAATAAGTACATACGTTCATGGAAAGTCGTTACAGCGATAGTTGTTACATTCGATACTCGATAGTTTTCGCTTATCGCCCATTACTGTAAGCATTTTTCAGCACTGTTGAGGAAGAGGAAGCACCGGCCAGACCTACTGCTGACGTGCCCGAACATCGTACGAATTTGTTTATTTTTTGTATAAGATTAAACGTACAATGCTGGACATACAAACGCATATGGTAAGTCCCAATACGTTCGATTTTCACTAGCTGCGTAATGTTTAACATATGAATCCCAGGATTACGTTGGCCAATCAAAAGCGGAACGCTGGTCACGAATTATCATCACTTTCTTCGGTGTTGTCGGACTAATATGGGGCGCCATTGTACAGCAGTTCTCTCAAACGGTTTACGTGCTTGGAGTTGGGTTCATTCTCTCCTCACTGGTAGGTTTTTTGGTACCAACACTAAATATAAATATAAAGCAATTTCTTTCCTTATAGATCACTATTCCACCGTGGCCACTGTTTCGTCGCAATCCTCTCAAGTGGCAGAAACCGGTGTCTAATAATGAGCAGAAGCAACAAACAAGCGAGTCTGGCGACGAGGGCAAGAAAAAAAAGAAGTAGGAATTTAAATAGCTGAGCTTTTAGCTTAAATGTTGTATTTAACTTAAATAAATTAATACATCCCTAAATTGGACGACGGTATGATATTAGTTCGTTGTGGTCATAGTACTTGTGGATGAGATCGTACATATTCGCAAAGAAGTATAGGAGATTGTCGTAGTGCCCATTGTAGGGTGCCTCACGGTCCACTAGATCTTCCGCACTCACGGAAAGTGGCGCTGCAAGCTGATGAAAGCCCTCGGTAATCTCAAGATTGTCTAGGCCACGATAGTTTCTGTTAAGACCCCACGCATTCACATGAACTTCGAGTAGGAATTGATGTATCGCCTCAATCGTGGCCAAATACCAGCGCGGACTGCCCCGTTGGTGGCGCCAAAACTGCGAAAGGCGATTTTGAAGCACCAACGTGCGTAGGCCACGTATGCGAGTATCTGCATAAATTCCCCTGCTCTGATTCCATGTGCTGTCAATAAAGACGGCTCGACGAATGGGCAGATTATCGTATGTGTATTTGCGACCACTGAGCGCGGTATTCTCCTCGTGCAAAACCTCGTCCATACGGTGACGCAGCATTGTGCCCATATGATGTCCTTTCGGAAGGCCGTAATTGTCCTCGATTTTCAGCTGTACATTGCGTTCAAACAACTGCGCCACTGTGAGACTCTTGGAGCTGGGGAAGATGAGCACTACTCCTGACTCCTCTCTGTAGTCGGGGATATCAGGGTATGTGTAAATTCTCACATGAGCTGGGGCCAAGACAGCGGCATGTACGGCAGTACTTTTCCCATCGATTTCCTTCTTATGTTTGATAATGTCAATATGAACTGGCAGCTCCACGCGCGGCAGGTGATTCTCAAGCTCCCCTACCGGTATATAACAGCTGTAGCAAAAGAATTTTCTTGACCGATGGCAAATTCGACAACTGTGGCGGCCCTCAATTGTGTCGAGCATCTTGTGATCGGCCAGACGCATATTGACGAACGGGTATTTGCGTGGACGCGTGTGATCTTCTGCGGAATGCAACATGATGTTACGGACAACAAAAAAAGCAAAACATTGTGGCAGCGCTACCACTACGCTAAAAAATAATCTGTGAACTTACCATTGTGGAGCAAAGATGGGGCAGCACTGAAATGAATTCTCAGGGCTGCAGAACCACAGTTATTTATCGTCGTTAGTTTAACTTTCTGATTGTTTGTATTATCGGTTAATTCGTGTAGTTACAAAATGGCTGTCGATCCTTTATTTTCTCGTTTGCATACAGCAACAAGTTCGTGTTATTCATGTCTTTTTAAACCATTAAATTACAAAAAGAATTCGCTGCATATTGATGTTTTGATTCAAACATTAAATATTACGACTCTCGAAACTTTGCGCAACGAATTAAACCGTCGCTGCTCGCTATGTAGACCGCATTGTTTTCACCACAACAAATACTATTAACGCAACTGCCAACATCGACTTCGCCCAGCGCTAGCGGTTGCGAAGCATCCAAATTGTTCCAGCCCTTGACCTTATTGTCGTAGCCACCCGAGTAAAGATGTTTCTCATCGCCGCAAATGCTGTTTATAATCATCTCATGGCAGTTCTATGTACAATAATCGATTGATAATTAAAACATGCCAGTACTAGTAGAAGTTCAACTTACTGGCAGCTGCCACACACGAACAAATTTCATTTGCGGCAAATTGTTAACCAACTGGAGACCCATGCCCGTGCGATCTGGAAATGCTAAATACGTGCGCTTGCCTTCCACTACGGGCCCCAAAAGGGTTAATGGTGATTTTCCCGGTAGCACAGCTTTGTTGCTGTACTTGCCCGACTTGCCCTCGACCACAACGGAGATGACGACATCCAGATCGCGTACTGTGTAGATTAATTGCTGCTCGCCGGCAAGTGACTTGACCTCCTCCACGAGATTGTACTTGAAGAGCATGCGATCGTTGCTCCAAGTGGTCACTACACCCTTGTCATCTCCTGTGAAGAGTATCGCGCCATCGCAGTACATGGCTTGAATGGCATCGTCGCAGCGGAACAGTTCCTGCACAGAGGCATCCTCGTAGGGCGGCAACATGTACTTAACCAGGCCGTCGCAGCTGCTTGAGTACACCTTGCCGTGGTCGTTGACAGTGAGGCAATAGATATAGGCATCGTGCGCATTTACCGTGCCCAATAGTTGCAACGTTTCCGACCAAATCTGCAAAGGAGGACACTCTCTGCGATATCTTCTAATACCATATGCCATGCATATACGAGGACCGAAAATCGCATTTCTCCTTATTTTTGAATAAGTCCTTTATGCAATGCCCGTCACATTTTTGCAACCATAATTATTTAATTAACGATTTTCGGACTTCGTGCAAATTAAATGAATGGTGTTTCGCTACCCACGCGTATTTTGCCGTCGGCTCCGCCGGAGAACAGCTGATTCTTAAAATAAGCTACACAGGTGGCGTCTCCCTCATGACCCTCCGTCGATTGGTGTTCGATACGTGCGGGCATTACGAAAATGCGCGGAAGAAAACGTGTGTGTGTCCGTGAAGCCGGTCAAAACAAAACTGTTCCAAGTGCGTCGCGTTTTCAGAGATTTTCCGCTATTTCTACAGCCTCTATATATAGAGAGTGCTCTTTTGTGATATATGTACTATAAATAACCGATATATACAGTGCGTAAGGTAAGTAAATTCTCATGCTTTTTAGTTTTGCAAACACTTTTATTTTTGCGCTTTAATGCAGTTTGGTTTTCAGCAAATACAATGAATTACATACATAGCTTCATACATAGTATACATATATGTATAGTTGAGATCGTATTACTTCTACACAGAGAAACCCCACCAAACAATATAAATTCAAATACAATAAATTTCGGTTACTAAGTATCACAAAAGTTGTTGAACGCCAATCAAAACTAAACAAACTGAGCATAATTTGAAGCGAATTTCGTAATTTTGCGTAACAACTGAAAATTTGTCAGTTAGGCGCTTTTATTTAAGGGTCGTAGATTGTCATTCGGCTTGAAAATTCCTTACCGTACACAGTTTAGATTGCAAATATAAAGTTATTTAGCTTCGAATTTTATCAGGAGTATGCTCTCGATATAGACTGCTTCAATAGTTTTCGATTTCATTAAGTATTCCAACTGTTTTCCCTTATTTCAAATTGTACTTAAACGAATGATATAATTAAAACTCTCATTAAGCTCAGGATACCTAAAATATTAAATTAAAAATTTTTAAACTATAATTTGTAAATTGTGTTAAACTATAAATAGTAATCTTTCGTACTATATCGAGCGCATACTTTGTAGTACTTGTTTCTTATTATGCTACAAATACACTAAATATTTTTTAAATTTAACTGCCACATCGTATTATTGGATTGCCACAAACATATTTCTGCTTCGTATACCCTGTACCCGAACGGTGAAAAGGTTTGTGCAAAATATGTAATAAAGAGAAGGTAGCATATTCCTTATCAGCATGACAAGAGATCCGTGTATCCGTTTGTCTGGATGAACGCCTGTCCATAATTCCAAACCTACATAAAATTTGTACTTTTTACACGTAATTAATATATGTATAATAATTTACTCTTGTTTTAAATTTCACCCAAATCGGTCAGACTTAGGAAAAGTTATAAGCGAAATAGTTTTCTACAGTACTACGCCCACATCGATCTTCTTCTATTTGCTTCTGCTGGGGGCGCACTCAGTTCCGGAAGTTAGTCTGGGTACAGGGTATTTCACTGTCGGGCTTACTAGACTGTAGCATTCTATCTGGTTTGTTTTCTTAATTTATGGGAACGTATTATTACACTCTCATTACTGCATTTAAAGAATGCCTGAATCGAGAATTTTTATATAACGCACTTTGACAAAAATTATGCCGGAACAAAAAACTCTGTGAAAAACCAACGAAATGTTAATGCTGTTAATGCTTCTTGCTTCTTCTTTTTTTGTTTTTGTGCATTTCATTCCTCTGTTACCGACTGTAACATTTTATCTTCTATGGCCTCATTGCGTGGATGGGATGGTAGGTACAAGATTGGTTCTCGCAGGATTAGAAAATAAAATGTTATTTCCAATCCATTTGTAACAATTATATGCCAAGTATAAACATAACGAAGAGCAGTAGGCAATGCGGGAAATAATTTTGAAGGCTCCCTCCCTCCCTTCATTGGAGTGCGTACTGACCATGAGAAATGCCAACATGTTACAGCATTTCGTGTGGCCAGGTATTTGGCTATAACTTATTCAATTTAATTCACGATCAAGCATCTTATAAATGCAGCAAAGGCTCCCGTACGTATATTTCGGCTTAATATTAAGTATTTTTCGAGTACACCGTGGAAGCTGCCAGTTCGTTAAATTGCTTTTAACTAACCTATGTTCTACATAGTCATCGTTTACTGTTGCTGCAGCAGGACACACGGTTCAAATTTAGTAATTCCCTAACATTGCTTAATAATAGAAAATACGCGGTATATGTAGGTATACTAACACGTACACACACATACATACATCGTTTATTGCTTAACTCAAAGTTTTACTAGCTATGTAGATGGTTTGCATGACATGTGTTCGTTTTCGTTTATGCTCTTCCTGTTGGCTTGAGTTACAGGTAAGAAGTATTAAATATCACTAATACTCGTGCTTCCTGCTTCCAATTCGAGCAGGGAGCTCGGAATACGACGTTTTGATAGTTTGTCTAATATGGAAACCAATAGCCATCTACACTTAGACATAGTATGCATTGTAGGGATTGCGCTTCTCCAGACAGGGCAGCACACACTCGAGTGTGTTGCGAAAGGCCTCGCGAAAATCGCGATTGAAGTAGGCATAGATAAGCGGATTGAGGGTCGAGTTAAAGTAACCAATCCAGAAGAGCACGACGACGAGGACATCGGGACAGGGGCAGGCGGAGCCACAGAGCGACGTGATGACATACCTGCAAAAGTCGAGATAATGACCACTGAAACGTCTGCTTGGCATTGCCCGACGAATTAGCCCCCGAACTTACCATAGGAAGAAGGGAAGCCAGCAGAGCAGAAATACGCCCATGATAATGCCCAAAGTGCGTGCAGCCTTGTGCTCGGCCTTCCAACCTTTTGTGGGTCGCACCGAGCCGCCTGTGACACAAACAGTATTGTTTTTTTTTTTTTTTTTTGGGTGATAACAGTTGTGTGATTAAAGTTCAATTTCATTGCGTGGCAGTTATAGCTTGTGGCTAGTGCTTGGGAAACGTTCACAAAAAAGAGAACAGAGCAGAGTTCTTGCAGCTGCTATAGCTGCAATTGGCAGTTCACAGTTCTTCACTGTTTGCTGTTGTTGATTCTTGGCTTGGATGTGTTTGTTTAGTTGTGGCAAAAAAAAAGCTGTGTGAATGTCTGGGTCTGGGCTTGGTCTGTTGTTTGATGCTTACTAAGGATGTTATTGTGTATACGCCACATGTTACGCCTCATATTGTTTAACTTTGTCATAAATAGTCTTGGCCTTGGTGTTGTTATTATTTCTGTGGTTAAGCTAAACCTACGATACGCAACCATATCGATGACCCGCCCGCTTAGTAACTCTCGCCTGCTGCAACTATACAGTAAAACCCTCCGCATATGTGTGCGTCTGTCTATGTGTGTTTGTGTTTCCGAGTGTGGGGAAAAGTAATAAAAACGAAACAAACAATTGAAAATATTTACACAGGGCGCTTGTTATCGCAAAGACACACAGACCAGGGCAACAAAAACGAAAACAGAGAATCCACCCCCTCCAACAAAGGCACGCACACGCAGACACACACACAAACGCAAACTGAAACTTTGCAACATAAGTGAGAGTAAAATAATAATAAAAAAAAATGACATTATATCGTACTGGCAGTGGGCCAAAGGCTAAATTCGCTCTTGAATATGGTTCGATATTAGGTAAATTATTTTGAATTAATGAGAGCACAATACTATTTAGGTTATGACTTACTGTGTCCAGATACAAATATGGATAAATCGTTTTTAAGAAATGGTGGAAATATTAGGAATTGGCATACAGAGTTAAGAAAGGAGAATGACCAATTGTGTCCTGCTTTAAAGCATTTTCAAGGATTAATTTAAACGGTAATGATTGGCATTTCTCTTTGTGCGTTGGGAATAAGGAATTTAAAAAATGTATATCTTTCAATAACATGCTCAGAAACTGCTCCCATGGACTTTATTAAAATTAACTATCTCGCGATTTGATTTTAATTTTGATTTTCATTGTGGGTCAAATTTAGAAGATTCTAATATAGAATTCATACGGTTGGCAAATGCAAAAGTGTATACCGTGGGTTCCAAGGTTCACGTTATTTAGCCTGTTATACTTGTAAACATGATCATACAGTTTGTATACTTTCCAGAAAGTAAGAGGCAAAACAAAGCAGACAGACATGAGTGGGTGACAGGACGTAGAAGACAAGTTCATCTCTGACGGGGGGATTGAGTCTGGTGTTTTGATTGCGGTTGTGTTTGACTGCTGTGTGGCTGGTCCTTCACACAGCCACAAACTGAGCATGAAATCATAATGCAAAAGAATAGCAAACTGGACAAAAAAGCAAAGCAAACGTACGTGCAAACGGAAGCAATTATTTACAGCATGAGCAGAGAGAAAGGCGAAGTTCGGAGCTGGCAACCACAGCTAGGTGGGGAAGCCGAAAGTATGCGAACGACTTGAAGGGGCGGGCCATTTGCCTCCCTCCGATTCGAATATTGTGGATTTGACACTCAAGGTGGGTTTTCCTCATAAGTTTGATTTGGTGGCTGCTCTAAGCGGGGATTACTTGCTGTGTTGGCGATTTAGGAACAAACGGCTCGCAAAGTGTGTGTGATTCTTATTTACAAATGTGTGTGTGTATGTATATGTATATGTACTCGTATGTATATATGGATATGGATTGGCTTATGCAGATGAGTGAGTGTCGAAAAGCGTATGAATGACAGCAATTGCCAGTAGGGCTTTGAATGATTGTGAGCGATTTGGGCGAACCAGAGTGTCATCGGGCTGGCGACACTTATTTCACAAACATATCTGACATATGAACTAAAACATACCATTTTAAAGAAAAACTCAAGATCAAAAATACCACCGTGCGTTCGGTATTTAATGTTTTTTATGGCTTTTTACAGTGAATGTTTGTGAAATTAGTTTTCCCATTTAGAACACACGACAGAAGCACAGACAGAGAAACATAGAGGGAGATAGAGAGAATGAATGAAAGTGTTGCTGTGGAGACAAAACTCACCGGTTGCGCCACAGTGACTGCATCCGGGTTTGAAGCGTTGCTTCCGCCGCTGCTTACTCTGCTGCCAACATGCTGAAAATGCCGCCGTACGTTTGTGCCAGAAGCGTGAGCGAGTGCGCTGATCTTGTTCGTGAGCGTGACTACTACTTGCATTGCCTGCAGCGTCTAGAGGGTTGTTATTGGTGGTGTTGTTGTCGGTGTCGTTGCTGACAAAATCAGCGCCGCAGAGCGGACACTTGGGCGGCGGAGCGCGCTTGCTCACCGCTGGTGCAAACTTAATGCCTCGCGGCTTCTGCTCAATAATCTCGGCCTCGTCTTCATCAACAAAGATGCAAATGCCACCGCGTCGTATTAGCGAGGATTTATTGGAAAACTCGGGCACTTCTAAGAGAGGCAAACATTGGGGAGGACGCGCAAGGAGTACGACAAGTCGGTGCGATTCAGTTGAGTCGTGGTATTTTTATGGAGTACAAGTTTTTGGGATTTTGGTGATGCATATTGAGTATACATATAGACACACAAAAAGAAAGGCGTTAGAGATCGCGAAGAGGGTTAGAGGAATAAAAAATGAAGAAAAAGTCGTACATATCCATAGACTATTTGTGATTGGACTATGCAATAGAGTCTAGTATGATTAGTGCATAAACTTGAAACTTAACTAATGTACAAATTTATTTTCGATTACAAAAACTACTGTCAATGTAACGTGCTACACAGAAAACAAAATTTGTTGGTATTAAAATGTGTAAGTTTGTGAGTAGCCAAACATTAAAAATTTGCTTTCCACAGAAGCACTAAATATCCTCAGTTAATTTTATTGTAGTGTGCTTTATGTCAACCTAGTATTTAATTGGGCCATATTTATACAAAATCAGACATCAATCGGTGGCTGGATCATAAACATCGAATTGTTCAAATTCCATGCGTCACATGCAATACATATCAGGTACATAGGCATATTACAAATTTGGAACTTGGATGGAAGAATTTGAAAGACGTAGATTAAGATAGAAAGAGAGAGAGACAGAGAGAAAGAGAGAGAGAGAGAGAGAGAGAGAGGGAAATTCCAGCTTGATTGCCTAGACGTATACTTAAAGTGTCCTACTAAGCTTTAAAGGCAAGTCGTGCGTTCAGTCGCTTTCTTTAACATCTCTACATTCACTAATCAGTCCTTCGGCGTCATTTGACTCGCCAAAACGGGATCAAATAGCTATGCTTGCCTATGGCAACCAATATTTAGATAAGTTTATTGCGCTACTTACTTGCCGAGCTGGTAGACACACGCCCCATTGGAATGTAGCTGCGGCTGTCGCTGTGTTCCTGGGAGAAATTAATGACATTCACATCATAAGTGACCACCGATGCTTGCCGCTTCCGCACTGTCTGGATACCATCGTAGCCGGTCAGGATACTACAGCGTTGACGGCCACCGGATGCAATTGCATCCGCATCTGTGCTATCTTTGCGGTTGAACAGCGGCGACGTTACGTCACGTTCTTCGCCATCGGCCTCCGGACTCCGAAGTGAAGTCGGCGAGAGCGTAGAATCGAGAATGATTTCAGGCTTGGATGATATGTTTAGCTGGGGAGGTTGCGAATGTTGTGCCAAGGACTGTTGTTGGGACTGGAGTTGGGGCTGTGGCACTGGCAGTGTGGTGACCACGTCTAGCGATACTGTTGATGTATCGCTGGGCGTGTAGCCCGCTGTCTGCGGTGGCGGCGACAGGAAGTACACATTGATGGACGCCGACTGCGACGATGTGGACGTGGGCGCCGCATTGTGGGGCGTGTTCGGTGGGGACAACAGACGATAGCTCGCTCCGCTTGCCGGAATCTGATCGCTCAGCGTGCTCAAGCGTTGCGGTGCCTGTCGCTGTTTGACCCGCTCTCGCTCAGCGGGAAAACTGAGCGACCGAAAGATTTCAGCCAGCTCGGAGCTAGATGCAATTAGCATGTTGTTCTGGTCAAGAAGCTCTACGGAGTGTGGCTTGATATTGGCGTCATTCGATAAACTGCCCTCGAGCATTGACGGTGGTGACAGCGAAGGAGGCGGTGTTGCCGGATGCTTGGGGGACTCGCCAAAGCATTCGGCAAGTTGGGCCAAGTCCTCAAAAGCATCGCTGCGTGGACGAACTGAATCTACATTACTGAAGTCTATCAGCTGTACGCCGTCGCTGAATTGCTTTATGAGCTCGCCTCCTCCGTTGCCAACGCCCACGCCGCTCTGCTCGCTAAGCACATTGATATCCAGCAATATGTCTGGCTTATCGCCCAGAAGGCCGCGTGGCCGGTAGACATCCGAGTCCGTGTCGCTGTGCTGGCGCGCGCGTTGCTCAAGTTTGCGTTCCTTGCCGCCACCGCCCGCACTGCCATTGTAGCTGTGCGATAGCTTCCGGTTGCGTGCACGCCGGAAGAAGCTTGAACCATGTGTGCTGCGTTGTATCTCCTCCGAATTCGCTTGATGTCTTTTTTTCTCTAGCGAAAAACATTCGGTGCTGGAGCGTTTTGTCTTTGCTAGCAGCGACATTAGATTGAAGCCCTTTTCCTGCTTTGTTTTCGACTCCACTGTGCTGTTGCCTTTGGTGCTATTTCTTATAAACTCTGAATCACTCACGGCGAGGGACTTTTTGCCCACTCCATTGCCTGCACCACCTGCACCACTTCGTAGGCGTATGAAATCGGACTCACTGAGAGCCGGATATTTGCCCGTGCATGCCATCAGTTCAGCTCCGCCTCCTGTCTGCTTTTTATAGTACAAATAGTTGTCCTCTATAAGACGCTTTAGCTCCTTGTTGTCCTCTGCGAGTGGCAGATGTGTTGCGGGCGCCTGCTGTTGCTGCTGCTCCCTCAGGCGAAGGTTCAATGCGCTGTCGTAGTGGTCGTTAGTCTCACTCTCATCGCTGTTTAGCCCAATGCCAAAGACGCGATATGCCCCACCCTCCATTGAGGTGCCACTGCCGCTAGTAGTGCTTTGTTGTTGCAGTAGAGGAGCTGGAACCGGCACAGGAGCGGGTGGTGTTGCTGTTGCATTGTTTGGTGCCACACGCTTTGCTGTTTGCAGCGCCTCTGCCCATATCTGGGGATCAAAAGTCGGCGCTGGTGGCTGCAGTTGATTGTGCGGTTGCAGCTGCAACGCTATCATCGATGGTGCGCTGTCTGTGTGCGTGACTTTCTCGTAGCGGTCCTGCTCCAGGTCACGTAAGTCGATGCTGCTGCGACTGAGACGACGCGGTGGGGGCGAGGGCACACGCAGCTCATCGCATTCCTCTTTATCATCATCGTCCTCGTCTGTGGGTGCCTGCAACATGTCCTGAAAGTGAAAATCAATGGAGTTTTTGGGTTTCAAATGCTCTTATTATGTGACCCCAGCTAACAGGTTTAAGTTAGTAGTCGATTGGCTAGACATACACGTTTAATGTAGAATTATATTTCGATTGTTTATACATGTATCTAAGGAAAATCTTTGGATTAAAATTACCTCCAAGTTGCTAATAGCACTATGCGTCTCCTCCCTGGTGGATGCCACATTTAAATCACAATCGCTAGGGTGTAAGTAGCTAAGACTTGTGGGCTGCTGTGTGTGGCCCATGTGGACACTATTGAGTAGAATGTTGGAACTAGTGCGGCTAAGAGCCTTTCGTTGACGCACCGCTTCTCTACAAAACAAAAGTTTTGGTTAGTCAAATACCTGTACCCCCAGACGCCCACAACTCACTTAAAGATGCGCCAATACATCACAAGCATGACAACGCCCGGAATCCAGAAGCTCACCGAACTCGAAATGAGAGCGTAGGCTTTGTTGACCACAAACGAACACTGATCCGGATGTAGCGAGACCTCGCGCAAATGCTCGGCCGTTGTGTACCAGCCCAGAAAGATTGGCGTGAATGAGATGAGTGCGGGCAGTATCCAGACGTTGGCGAGCATGAAGCATACCGTTTTGTGCGTCATATTCAGAGGATACTCCAACGGACGCACAATTGCGTAGTATCTGTGGGTCGGAAGTTAGGGGAAATCAAAGCGGATTGCTTTATTAATGGAAATAAATTGTAACGGGCGGCAGAGCAGGTAGCACTTGTTGATAGAGATGGGCATCTGCCAGAAAATATGCAGCTGTATATACCCGTGTGCATACAAAAGTTATTGTTTCGCCTATCGTTTTCACCAAATGGCTTTCCATTCATATTGGTGTTACTTTATGCTATTTTCCGGAGTAGTTATCACATTGTTAAAAGTTCATCTAAAATTGGTTTAGCTCGCATAAATCTTGGTAGTATGTACTGTTCAGAGGCGCGGCAATACATATACTCTGCGACCGCATGAAATCGATGGTGACAATGTCCATAACAATATTATGTGCTATATTATTTAGGAAAATAAAATTATCTTTGATGAAATTAGCACGACGAAACACCGCCGCATCAAAACACAAATAAAAAGATGCAAAAACAAATATGTTTTTTAAAAAAATGCGAATGCTAATATGTTTTAACATCATACTACTAAGTATTTTTGAAATTACTGCGGCGTTTGGAGACGAGCGAAATTTCACGCACTCTTTCTTATGCAAGCAGTTAGCTCCATCTCTAGATTCTAGCATAATTGTATTTGTTTTCTCCAGCGTTGTTTGGCGCATTTGTTTTGCTGTGCTTTGTGTGCGCCTCATCGAAAGGTGAAACACAAATTAATTAAAAAAGACAAAGGACCAATGGCCACGAGCCATTCTTGATGCTGTTGCCATTTACGCACATCTGTTGTGCTTCCGTTGGGGCGGTGGTGCCAATTAACGGTCCGAGGAGCGCAGCTGCCTCACAATTTGTTCGCCTGTACATTTTACGCTATTTCTCCATTTGACTGGATGTGCTTAGGTGCGTGTGTGAGTACAGCAAATCATTTGGGTAGCATTCATCATACGCCTCGCTGTCTAATGTTTGTTTTTGATAGCCGCACATTTCTCATTGTAATTAATTGTGTGCCATTCGCAATGATCAGAGTTTTTGTTGCAAATGCGTGCAACACTTTGAAGGTGCCCATCTGGCAATTCAGGCCAAGTTTATTGGTCTTTTGCTCCCCCACTTCTTATGTGGAATGCTGGGTATTTAAAAGTTGTTGTGCAAGCGTTTTTTGCAGCAGGACTCAGTTTTTTATCCCACACTCAAATAAATATACGAGTACATATATAGTTGTAAGTAGTATGTATGTATTGACATGCATACAGAAGTCACTCACCTGTCCACCGATATGCAACACAAATGCAAAATGCTTGCCGTCGAAAAGTATACATCCAAACTGTTATAGACATTGCACATGAACCGTCCGAACATCCACTTGCCGCCGGATAGCTCCACGGACGCATTGAAAGTCATGGCGCAAAGAGCGACTAGCATGTCGGCCATTGCGAGGGAAACAACAAAGTAATTTGTTATAACGCTGCAATGACAGTGCGGAATGAGGAAAGAAGAATGAAAGAAGTGAAAATAGTGCATCATAATAAATGAATATCAACAGTTGAATGTAACCACCATTCACCATCCCAAGCAGGGTTTCCAGCTCATAAAAAGTCACATCATGGGAGTGTAATTTCATTTGTTTATCAATGCAGTCGCCTTCACCAGCGAGACATTCGTTGAGCCAGGGATACGTGCTTGTTGTTGCACTTGTGAATTGAATTCCATTTGCCTTCTGCAAATGACGCCAGTCACCAGACGGCTTACCTTTACAGTTTACCCCTTTTCCCAGTAAATATACACACAAAATGTACAAGTATATAATATTCCACGGAGAACGAGTGAAACGATATTTTCTTCTTCGCATATTTAACTTCATTCCTGATGCTTTACTTTTAACTTAAACTACGCTCCTTTAAACCCCATTTATATGCTTTGCAAAAGCTTTTGCCCCCGCTGTGTTGCACGTGCAATGCCGTCGATAAATTTTAGTAAACGGGGGTCATCCCTGCCATTTTTCCAGAAACCGAGCTGAGACGTGACGGTGATTGCACTGCACCAGAGGCGATGGACATAGTGAATAAAAAATTAAACCCAAAATATTATTATATATTATATTATATAAGGGTTTTAATAAAGGAGTGCGTATTTAATTGAAAAATACTTTTTATAGCACGATAGCACAATACCAAAGCGAAGACATTTTGCCCTTACAGTTATTAAATAATTCGTGCCATGTTTTTCATTTGTACCACTGTGCGCTACTATCACGGCATCCCGCTGTGCTATAACCATGAAAACAAATTGCTGGTCGCTTACTCACCGCAATTTTCGATTACGTTGCACCGAAATGATAACCAAAGCGTTGCCCAGCACGGCAGCCAAAATAATTGACGAGAATATAAATGCTTTTAGTATAAGCAGTGAGAGATCCAGCCAAGAATCCTCGACCATCTCTGGTTCGCCGATGGATTCGATGAAGCTGCTGTTCAGTGTGAGGTTTTCTGCTGTTGTTGTGACGGCTGTGAGCAATGTTGAGGATGTTGGCAAGGATGTTGTTGTGTATGCTGCAGCTACCGATGATGCTGCTGTTGCCGTTGCTGCTGCCGACGAGGACGATGTTAATGACAGTGAAGTCAACGAGGCGTTTGCATTGTTTGCCAATGCGGTCACAAATTGAGATGTTGTTATAGGCAAACTAGTTGTTGTCGTTGTTGTGGTAGTTTTTGTTGTTGCTGCCGCCGTTGCCATTGATAACAACGTTTCTGTGCGGCCATTGCTCGTCGTACTGCTTGTTGTTGTTAAAGTTGTTGCCGTATTGAGCGCTGCAGTGCTTGCAACAAAAGTTGCAATTGTCTTGCTTGCTGGCGCTTTTACCGCCATCTTGTTACTCATGTTCGTTGCTATTGCTGTTGTTGGAGTAAATGTGTTGATGGCAGTGCTGTGGAGGCTGAAGGATTTGTTGCTACTGCTGCTGCTACTGGCGGTGGTTGTGGAAGTTTTAAGCAGCGACATGATTGCCTATAACTGCAACTTTTTGTTTGTTGCCACTTGAAATATTTATTTTCTGTTGCTTTTTCTGCTGATTAAAATACGAGCTGTTGCTGCTGTTATATTATATATGTTGCTACTGTTTTTTGTTGGCCGCTTTCCATAATCAACTTGCTTGATTCATTGCTTTTGAATTGCTTTTGAAAAGCAGTAAGAGGTTTTTTGTTCAGAAACTTTTTACTTAGTCCGCTGAGTGCACAATCTAAAACGTGCATAATTTCAATTTGCAAGGCAAACAATCGGGTTGAAGTTCATTGTCATAAATTGCATCCGCTTCGTATTTTTCGTCGCAGTCATCTTCATCATTATCATCGACATCCCCATCAGTTACGTCAACAGCATCGTCGACTGTTTGTCATTGTCAGCGCCCAAGCGCCCCTTTCTTGTCCTCCTGCCCTAGGCTTGACTTGTTTGATTTGCTGGTGCTATCGATGCGTAAGTCGAAAAGCGGCTCGTTTAAACGTGCTACTGTGGGCAGCGCTTCTGTAAGTAGATAATGAATATGACAAAATTTTTATAATCGAGTGGGTAATGTGCAGTTTATTTAAAGTTTGCGATTTTATCAAGAACTGTTGAAGCAACAAAAATGAATACGTAAAATTCAAATTCAAGCTTCACATCGCCACTATCGTTAACATGGGCGTCTAGTCTTTGTTTACCGCGCTACTCCACCCAACTATTGTTTCGGCTACCGCAAACCGGGACTATACACTTGGCTGTTCATCGGAGCATAGCTTGAAAAATAAGAATTAGAATGCCTCCAACGAGTCGAAGGTATTATTCGATATTATTGTAAATTATTACAGCTTTCCTATTTTGTCATCTACATGTATTTTCATTTATTATTAATATGAAATGTAATTAGAAAATACTGTTAGTCACTATATCATTCGTAAGGGAATATATGATTTGGCGCACCACTCCGAAGTGCTTGGTTTTAACTGCTCGTTTGCGCAGAAGCCAAGTATCCTTCAGTATGTTTATAATACATCTTTATTAATCCACGTTCATGGGAAGTGAACTATTTCCACATGCATGGTTACCTTTCGGAACGCATGAGTGATGCTACCCCACAAAATATGATAACAACATTGCAAATACTTCTATGTATTTTGATGTAAATATTTTTATAAATAAATAGGTACATATTTTATGGTACATTATTTGAGTTTATCTGCTTCTTTGAATTTAAACGATCCTTAAGAGAAATTGTGCTCAACATAAATATGGCACCACTTCAACTCTGGTTGGCACAGGGATAAAAATGCATTTACATTTCAAGCCTCCCTTCATGTCTATCGATTTCTTTCTAGCGAATTGATTTGAGAATATCTATGCTATTGTTGCTTGGGCAGAAAATTGTATTACTTTCGTCCTGCGGTCGCAAGTGAAGCGGCTGCCTCCCAAGAAGCTTCTGCTACAGTTGTTGCATTAAAATGTAAGCAACAAATTGAAAAGCACACATGTCGAGTGCGCACTTGGTATGCATTTTATTTGAATGTTGCTCTGAACGCTGACACACGCATACTTGTATACTGGCAGCAGTCACCAAAGTCCCACCCCATGCCTCTCAAACCCATCCATTCCATATATTTACATTATGTCCTTCCGCTTGTCAGCGCTGGGATTGAAGTTCAAATGTCCTTGGTAGGAGAATAAATCGTGGGCCGAAAGTTTGTTTTTGCTTTGCGTTGCCGCTGGCAAACTTGACATCAAAATAAGTTTCTGCAGCTGCCCTTCAGCATTTTGATTTCAATATTTTTTAAGGATTTATAAGTGCTGGCTGGACACACATCCACACAACCGCAGAGCTCCATAAAAAGTGTATAGTAGAGACCCTTGCCCTGCTATTCTGTCATGCTTCACAGCACTATTATCCTTGTTAGTTGGCTCTTCGCATGTCCTTCATATCTGCTTCGTGCTTGTTTGATTAGTTCAGCTTGTGCTCGGCATCAGACGGAAGATTGGCAACTAAATATTTTAATGCGAGGATTTTGCAAGGATAACAAGCACATCACTCTTTCTTTGCGTTTGTGAGGAGTGGTCTTTTTAAGTTGTCTGCGCTCCATTATTTATCGGCGGACCTTTTAATACCCCGGCTAATGCAGGCAACTTAATTTCAGAGCTGGCCGCGTACGGCAGGGCCACAAAGCTTCGACATTGCGTCAGTTATGGGGCTGCAGCAACAACAATGAAAAATGATGGAGGAAAAAAGACATTGTGGCATAATTAATGCCTTGTCTTGTAAGCGCTAGAAAGCAGGCGGGGTTCACCGGAAATTCAATAAAGCCGCCGTCTTTCCGGCAGCAAAGTTGTCTAAGCGCAAACGTCAACAGTGCATGGAGTGGACGCGAGGTTGCTCTTGGCTCTACACTGTGAAATCACGAGGTAGAAGAAAATGTAAAACATATTTCTTTTATATGTTAGAAATGGCAATTTATTTAATTTCAAGAATCATTGAAGCCTCAGTTAAATATAAAAAATATAAAAGTCTATTACTATTACGAAAGGATGTCAACAGGTCCCCAACTTACATAAAGAATAATCTGCTTCACAGGTTAAATTGCGAACTCCTTATTTTTGCAAAGTGTAGTTTGTAGGTCATTGAGGCCCAGGCAGAGGTAAGAGGCCAGAGGGCATATTCTCTGTGCTCTGTGCGTGGGCGTGTGCAAAGTGCAAACTTCAAAGCGGCGCACAGGACACTACTAATTCAATTAAATCCCTTCTCTGGGCCAGCGGCTAAGTATCGAGGCAACCGAGCAGGCAGCCAAGCGGGCAATCATTCTGACCGCTGGGTGTTGGCGTTCCGCGGGCACAGCACGCATTAGAACGTCACTTGTCCGCTTAAGTACAACGAGTGCTTGACTGACAGAGTGGCTTTCTGCCTGCTTATTAACAACTGCTACGGTACCCGAGAAAGATGGAGAGGGCGTAAAATAATTGAGTAAATAAATACCACTACAAACATCGATCCGTGTAAAGAGTAACTAAACTCCCAGTACTGTGGCAATAAAAACTGTCATTGGGGCTTATAAAAAATATCAAAACGTGGGCTTAACACGTGCCTTCCATCTTCCCTTTGCCTGACACATGGGGTTAGTAAATAACTAAATGTCATTGCCGAGCACTGTCGATGGTCTGAGAACCGTGTCGTGCTTGTAAATGTGTGGGCCATGTTTGCGTAAATTAGTTGCGAAAATAAATAGACGTCCATAAATTGCAGTAGTTACCCAGCAGCTGTATTTGGCGTGTGAGAGTAGCGATAGAATATACCGCACGATTATATATGTTTCCTTTTATCTCCTTATATGTTTTATTTGTACTGAAAGATTTTTAATAGATTGGTAGATAGTCCTGCAGAGTTTATAATTGAAAACTACCATACGCGTGTGCACGAATGTGTGGATTGCATAACGAATGACCTTTTAAATGGCTGCTGTTTCAACAGCAGATGTTGCCCTTGCAACTATACTTGCTACACAGTGGGTCAATAATTTATATTGAAACAAGTCTGAACTTGTTATTTGTAATTCTCTTATTTATTTGAAGTTTTCAATGACATTTTATTGCTATGATTTACGAGGAAAACATATATTGTTGAATTATATTTATATTAAAATTATATTTGGATTTACACGCATACCGAACATACACAAAAACCTAAGGGAATGTCTTTTGTGGAGGGATGTGGATTAAAGTTCAAGTTTGTCTTTATAAGAGTGAGGGATATTTTACTTGCGATGCAATATTGTTTATTTTTTATCAGTAGTGTGGTTATTAAAAGATGTATTTTTAAATGTTACCCATTAGCTCCTCAACAAAGGTGGTTGGCTTGGTCACAAAAAAGGGAAAATGTTAAAGTAAGAAAACAAAAAATGTATGTACTGCTGTTAGAAATGTTGGAAGAGGTGGTAGAGACACACACAATACATACACAATTATATGTACACATCTAAACATTATACTAACTTATATATGAAGTTGTTAAATATCATATAAACAGACTATTTTTTCTATAATGCAGTATTTATTGTGTGTAAGCCCTTAAAAAAGTAAGCATACATTTCTTTGTCGGTTGCAAACTACAGTGCGCAGCTGTAAAGTATGCTACATTTTCTGCGCTGAGTTCAGTAGCAACTGGAGGACCAACACCCCCATGGCTGTCATTGTGATGTCTGTCTTTCTGGGTGGGAAGGGAAGCCTGTCGGACTGGCCGACTTGTATGCATAAGTAACATTAAATTGCGGAATGAAATCGCTAGAAAGTAGGACACAACATAATATCGCGTATACGCCCCAAAGCACAAGGCGCGTTTACCATCAGCCTCTACTTAAGTGTGTGTATAGTTTCTGATTGTGTTTGAATTCCCTTGTTGACCAATTGATTTGACAGTTGACATAAATTCTTCGATTGCTATTTAAAATGTTGTTGACAGGCAGCACACACTCGAAAACACACACATGTGTGCAATCACACACTTAAAGACGCACAAGGACAGGGCCATCATGTAATTCATAAAAACAAATTTGGACAAATAGTGAGTAGTGATAATAAACGCCACGGTTTGGCGAGGTGTACAGCTGTTTGCTTAACAAATTGAACCCAATGTGCATTTCAATGGGACAGTCAATAGCTTCATTGTGTGTTGTCCTCAGATTGGCTGAAACTAATTCGACGCTGAATGACAAACGATGTACGAAAATGTGGATATAGGTGTTGGGCGTCCAGCTTCTGCCTTCGCCTGAGCGCGAAGTATCGAAAGCAAGACACAATGTGACGACAACTGTCAGTATTTAAATAAGATTGATTGATGAGGCTCAGCATGCAGTATGCTTTGGCTTTGGCTTTTCATGCCCAGCAAGAGTAGGAGCAGCAGCAGCAAAAGCTTTGACTTTGATTTGCATAAAACGGCTGAGATACATAGCCAACCAGCTGGCTAACAAGCGTAGTCCCTGGGCGTGGTGTCATGTGGCGCACACGTTTAATGGCGCACAAACAAATTGCTAGCACATCCGTTTTGACTTGGGAACTCAGACGACACGCATTGTTTTCGCCGCTTGTTTACTGCCCAGCGGCCCAGCGGCCAATCAGCCATACAGTGTAGTATGGAAGGAATCTATGTGGGCAAAATATTTGATTTATTTTTATGTAGTAAATCGGCAATCACTTATGTTCGCCTGAAAACTAAAAAAAATTGTTGGCGAAGATATTTTATTATTTCTTTGCTTTTACTTTTGTTTTTTGCGCATAACTAATAACCAATTACTGATTATTTCTGTGTTTATTCTGCAATTTTTCCGATTGCACTCTTCGAGTGATTCACATACCCTTGTATGAGAATATTTAACAGTTTGAGAAATAGAGAGAGCATCGTAAACAATATTTTTATCTTTTATCGGCTCATCAAGACATTTTGAATTAAAGATTTAGTTTAACATTAGGACTTGTATTAAAGCGAAATATGAAATATTTCGTAATATAGATACGGAATAAAATTGTTTGCTGGTGTCCAATTCTTCTGCACTTGCAAATGAAGATACAAGGTCATACTCGTATTTGTATAAAATGAAAAACAAATATTCTTTTCGATTTAGACTGTAAGCGGAAAGCGCCAACATAGAATCCGCAGCCGGTAATACTCTTACAAAGATACTTAATATCTGTTCACATAAGTTCTATATGATCTCATTAGAGAAGTGATCCTACTATTCATTTATAGTTTTTGTCCACCTCGATTGAATTAATGTCACACTGTTCTGTTTGCTTGTTGATTCGCCGTATGTCATTTCATCGTCCTTGTAAGCGTGGGGATCTATTAGGGCACAACAAATCATTTAGTGGCTGTCAGTCAATCACTTAATCAACCCATTAGCCATTAAGCGCTCGCCTATAAAAATTCACTTGCGCCTGCTATGCGCGCATCAGTTATCCTGCATCCTTTTAAGCTAGAGCCACGCTCGTTTCACATTACGACGCGCCATTGAGCTGATAACTTGCTACTTGGTGTACGGCTCAGTTTGTCGGCTGAGTGTGAATAAGTTTGGTCCGAATTCGCCATAAAACGCGCTTTACCGCCGCCTACCTGTTTTCAGTTATGTGCAGACTGAATTATGGTACATTGCTGCTAATCGCGGCCTCTTTTTACGTTGCTATTTGCAGTCACGCCAAGCCCATGCAGGTGAGTGTAAGTGGGAAGAAAGTGAAGAGGAACTAAGAATGAGACTAGAGGAGACAAAACAAACGCCACTTAATTAGTTTTATTTGCTTAAGTTCCCGCATCGTGGAATCGTTGAGTGGGACTGCAGCAAAACTTGCAACCGCAAGGTGGGCGCCTGTTCCAAATCATTCAAGTTTTGCTGCAAAGTGTTCACAATTATCATACCAAGCAACGCTGTGGCAAAACTTTTCTAATGTAGACTTTGTGGCCCTCACAGTAGATGGCAATGTAATTTAAAGCATCGTACATTTTTGGTTTCAGTACTAATTTTAGTATTTTTACTTAGTTATTTATTGTAATTTGTTTACCTACCGATTATAATTTACATCCGTTTTTTATAATATTACTTATTTAGATCATTTTTTTTTTAAATCATTTATATTATTATTTAATATTTCAAAAGATTTGGTGATTTATTATTTGAATTGAAACATCATTGATTTGGTTTTAGTTATACATATTTTAATAGTTTGGGAATCACATTTGCTTGTGAATTTGTATAGAAAGTAAGGTGTGCGCTTGCATCCGGTAATTGATTAGGTTACTCCCCTATTTCCAACTACTTATGTCTTAGTTCGGGCTTACAACTTTCGGCAAATTTCGGTTGCCACACATTTCCTGCCTGTCATTGGCAATAGCCGAAATGTCATGTTGAGCTAATTAAGTCGTTGGGAAGCCAATTTATTTGAATTTTCCGAAATTGCATTTACAAGCTGCTAAATGGCACAAGGCGTTATGAATGGATGAGGCAGTCATTTAGATTTATATGTGGCCCACACGTCGCATACGTGATCTTTTGAACACAATTCCATGCATGACAAGTAATCAAACGCCAGCATAAATGTTGTGCGCACACACGATTTACAAGCAGATTTAAGGTGTTGGAATTTCAGTCTTCATTGAATTGTCTAATCAAGCGGCGCTAAGCCGCTCACTGTCTCAGCCACAGCTCGAGGCTGTAAATTGAAACAATAAAGTGCTTGACTGGCACAAAAAACAGTGTTTGTAGTGTGAGATTGTTAGTGCATATATATATGTATATATTCATATATATGGTTGTGCTCTTCTGTGGTTGTGTGTGTGTGTGTGTGCAGCACGCACGTATGCGCATAAATAGGCAGCATAAAAATAACTTAACACGTGTCGACAGTTTGAAGGCCCCCAATGCGGTGGCCCAGCCAACTGCCAGCTGCCAACTGCCAAAGCTCTGCCAAGAGTTTGAGCCTGAGTCGAGCGGAAGTCCCGCACCAGTGCTCACTCAATAAAGGAGAGGCAGGAAATGCTCTTGTGCCCGCATGAGAGTATCGTAAAAAAAGGCAAAGCCGGGGCATATTTCAAATACATTTATATACGAGTATGTGGTATTTTTTTTATCTCCTCTTTGTTTTGTTTCCTTGCACGTTATGTGTGTGTTATATATGTGGCACTTCGTTTGAGCAGAGCGCACAAAAACTGGATTTACCAAATCGTATCAGAGGTGGTCCTGGAGGTGGAACGGCCGCCCACAGCACAGTGCTGTCGGAAGCGCGTCAAAAACGCGCCATGGGCGAGTACAAGGAATTAAATGACATTATTGATGAGCTGGAGGAGAACAATTTGCAGGCGCAGAAGAGCCTGGCTATGGCTTCGCCACTATCGACAGCACAGCTGCAGCAACAACCACAGCAGGAATATGACTTGGACAACATGCCGCCACTGACCTATTACCTGTTGTTGCAAAAGCTACGGCAATGTAAGTGGGCCCATCACGAAGCGTATACGTGTGAACACCTGCTAGTTGTGTCGGTTTAGTTGCATAGCTCGTCATAATATATGAAATACTCAAATGGATCGATCCATAAACTAATTTCAACTGACTTTCCAATTTTTCGAACGGGTATCGTGCTTTCCAAACATTCTAAAATTGCTGGAAATAATAGCAATAGCTTTATGCGCATACAAAAACATTTCTTGGCCTTGGAACCGCTTGTTTATTTTTAATATTTCCTTCAGTTTTGTTGATTAGCTTTTTTAAAATCTGCGAAAGTTAATTAGGGAGTGAAATCAAGAAAATTATCTAAATGACACAACTTTATGGTATGCGTGTGCGCTTCTTTTGTAATTAAAGTCCAAGAGCCAACAAACCCCTTTTGCTCCTTCTACAGTGCAAAATAGCAACGAGCCCGCCTACCGCGTGCGAACGCCACGCCTGGGCCGTAGCATTGACTTTCAGCAGCTCCTGGACGCCAGCGGAGTCGGCGATGAGGAGATGAGCGTGGGAGGAGGTGGTGGCGGAGGCCTGGGTATACAGTCCCGGCAGTTCGTGTCGCGCATGATGAAGAAATCGGTGCCGTTCAAGCCGCGTTTGGGCAAACGTGCTCAAGTGTGCGGTGGCAGCAGCAGTAGTGATTGAGTCATGGCAACGGCAAGGACACAGCAGGCGACAGAGCGACGACGACAACGACAAGCCCTTGGACAAGGTTGAGGTTAAATGGCATTCCATACATTTCATACACACATGAAAACTCATGGGCATGCTGTTATTATTTTTATGATTATAATGCCTAGAAGTCTTATGTTTCAGTATTCATTGGACGACTAAAATTATTCGATAACATATTTAAAAAGCCGCAGCAATTAAAACAATAATTGACCGACGCGGGTCGCATATACGTGTACACATATTCTTATATACATATAACGCATATATAATATGTAAACTGATATGTATAGTCGACAAACGTTTGAGAGGAATTAATTATACGCAAAAATATTTGTTTGAATAAATTGCATCGCGCTCTTTTATCCCAAAATCGTATTTTCTAAATAACATAACGTCTATATGTATATTATAAATCAACTGCATATGATTATATGGACACATATAGGTATAGTGTGGTATGTTAAAACAAAAGGCGAATCTTGTTGCATTTTGCAATTAAAATTGAAAATGCTTCTAATTCGTACATGTGTGCAACCGTGCATGAACTAACAGTGCATTTAGTTGGAAAGCTAATAAAATGAATTAAAATTTATTGAAAATGCCGCAGGTAGTGCAGTAAATGGCGAAGCTTGTGGCTCGGAAGTGCCATGTGTCCATTGGCTGATAAAATTGCCAACGGAAGACCCAGCTCCCCACCAGCTCTGCCAGATCAAAAGCATTAAATCCACATAATCGAATAGAAAAATTGCACTCTTCCACAAAAATGTGTATTAGTATTTGCACCAAATGCATTTTATTCAATTGCAGCTGACTTTATATGCATACCTAAGAATTCAAATGCCTTTGAAGCACAAGAATTTATCGGCAGTAAAAAGGCACAGTTGCAAAATATTTGTGGGGAAACTCATTAATTTCGTATGGAAACTAGTATGTCCGGGCTTTGTGTCCACATTATATACGTAAATGAAGTACTAAGACGACATTTTCTCCAAATAATAAAAGTACCAATTATATTATAACAGGTTTTTTATTGTGTCTAAGTTTTTGTGAATCTTTTTGACATTTTGTGATTGTTTTTATTGGAAACATTTTGTGAAAGTTATATAGTTATATTGGTCCCACCCTGTTTCATTGAGTGCTTGAAAAACAGTGCGGCAAATGTAGCAGAAAAATGAAATGGAGTTAATGAATGATAAATTAGCTACATTTTCAGAGTGTGTAGAGGAATAGAATGAGCATAAATGTTGGGCAACTCATTAGAAACTCGGCGCGTGACAATTAGTTTGGCGCATGTTGCTCCTCATCGTTAGTTTAACTAACTTCAATTGAAGGTCAGGACTCCAATTTGCCTGAAAAGGGTAACGTTGCTCTCGGGAGCAAGTTATGCGGCAAATTCATGACAAATGATGGCTGTGTCACGTAGCCTCGCCACACACTCTGAAGACTCAAGTCCTAATGGCAACCTAAAGTGGGTGCCAAGGCAAAGGTTATATATGGTTATATGGTTGCATGGATCGTGCTTAAATTGTGCTAATAGGACATACAAGTTACAGCCAAAAGGAAGGCACTCATGCACACGTGCACTCAGAAAAACTTGTGTGGAATAATATCTGATTGCTTTTATAAAATAAATGCCGCGGTTTATAAGCGGTTTTATTTCAAAGTCAAAAAGTATATTAGCTAATATAGTAATCTAGTTGTACAAGAAGGAGTACAAAATTCTACACTTGTTAATTTATGAGTGGACTGTCTTGGGCAGGTCATCTAAACGGCAATTGTAATTTCCTAAAGTCGAAAAATGTAAATAACTAAATACCTAATAATATTCGTAACAAAAAGAAAAAGAAACTAGATGTGTATCTATCCACACTGACTGAATAGTTTTCCTTGAAAGAACGAAATATTTTGAAATACTCATTGTAATGGTATCTTCGAACAAGTTTATGTTGAGATCTCTACATATATTGTAAATATCTTTGTATTTACAAAATTAAAACTTATTCATTATGTTTAGCTCATAAATGAATTACCAACACTTTCACGTTGAACCTAATTGTGAAAAATGTTGCAGTGTACACACGTACATATAAGCTATTGAAACATTATAACTGCAAAATGGCAATAAATACTTCGTGCTGTTACTTTTTTTGGGCCAACATGCAGGTATTGCTGCCGCTCCGTTGCTATAAAGGGCGTTAGGAGCACGCACTGAGACGCGTTGTGAGTTGGCGTGCAAATGAGCAACGGGCCCGGAGCTCCTCCGCATGGTGGCCGCATTCGTTGCTTGACGTTGGCGAAAAATGTACAGCTGGGTCGTTGCGTAAGGCTAAACTGTTTGAATATCAGCTGGCAGATGCGCCGACTTTTTGCCTGCTTGGTCGGTCTGTCTGTCACCCGCTCTAACGTGTGCTACGTGAGTCTTGGCGAACGTGTGAGAGGGATGATAAGTTGCTGTTTGAGTGTGCGAAAATCACTTTGCCTGATTAAATGACGCACACCGCCAACAGTTGTGCCTGGCCTTTAATATCAGCCTACGTCAACTCTCCATCCTGCCCGACACCACCGACACTTCGTGTGTATTTATTTTACATTTAAGCAGCACTCGAAATGCCCGTAAAAAGCTTTGCTTTTTTTCTGTGTCCACCTTTTTTCTTTCGATATGCACATACATAGTATACATACTATATAATGTATATATACGGGTAGTATGTGTGGGATAAATTTATGTGGCCCATTATTGTGAGCTGTTAAAAATGGCTGCTAATATTGGGCTGTCCAGACGCTACGGTTCGGTTCGGTTCGGTACGGTTTAGGTCTGTGCTCCAGCCGTTATTCATACTCTAAGCCTGCTATTCTGAGGCACATCTCGCATTATTTGTTGTATCTAACAACTGATTTAAATTTATTGCTTACCACATTCGTTTGCCTGAATATTCCCCTCCCGCTCATTTAATCAAATTTTGCTCACTGTTTGGTCATTTTTCTTGGTTTGGCGAGTATGCAAAGGCTTAAAATTGGCTTTGTTAGTGCAGCACAAAAGTGAAAAAGGTTGTGTAATTTAATTACTCATAACAAAAATATCCTTTATCCGCATATGCTGTGGTATTAATGTGGCTATAGATATAGATTGGGATGTATAAGGGGGTTAAGTGGCATATCTGATTTTAATAACAGGCGGTCGGCTACATAATGACAGAGCTCCTATCTTTGGCTACCATCAATTATTAATTAAATGCCGCACACCAGCAATGTGGGCTATAGGTCACCCTTCGCGCTGAAGAGCGCCAGGTGTTGCCGTTACTGTTGATCCGTGTAGGTCTTGACCTGTTGCCTTCAAAATGATGGCGCGTGATTGATAAGCTGATAGTTGAGAAATTGTCTGCAGTGGAATTGAATTGGTGCTCTTGTTTTATGCCTGCTCAGTGCTTTGTCCCATTTTAAACAACTAAAACACTTTTTAATGAATATTACTCAGTGTCTCAGTATTTTTATTTACTTTGCATTTGGTCGTCTTTGGTAACTTTTCTATGTGCCATGTACTATGTGATGTGATAGCAAGATTTTAAATAAAGAATTTGGTTACACTATTTTGGTAAACAATACTGAAACTCTTTTAAGACTTTTAAGCATATCGTTTTTCAAAATTTCGAAACGAGAGCTCTACAATGTGCGGTATCTCAATTTAAATTCGTCTCCATGTGGATCTACTATACAAGTATAACACGTCTACGATGTTTTCTTTTCGGCACTACACACCAAAACCAATATGCCCTGAACATTTGCAGTGAAGTGAAGAATGAAATACAATGCACACATCATAAGTAAATATAAATACATTTAATAGCCAAAAGGGGTACTAAAATGTTTTTAGGTTTAAATTTCGCCTGGTCTGATCACAAAGGTGTCAGTTGATTGTATATGTGAATTTTATATTTTGAAGTTATTATATTTTTGAATTTTGTTGAGATCTTTCTTTACAAACTGGGAAAGTAATTTGTAAGCAGAGTAGCCTTCAGGCGTCCAATGCCAAATCAAAGAAGAATACCAATAACAACGTCAACAAAAAGTTGTGCGGCAGGTAGTCGACGGGCAGCACACTTAGCTTTCGCTAACTTTAGAACACTTTTTCCAGCCAAATGTTGCAGCAATTGGGTTTGTTTTCGACTTGTTGTTGCTGCTGCCAAAAAATGTTGAAATTGCAATACTCGCATATTCGCAGGCACATTAGCTCACATGCACAACAACGCGCACGCAAACCCACACATACAACGCTAACACAATAGACGCCTGTGGCTGATGCTGCCGATGCCGTTGACGACTTCCGATGGCTGCCAATGGCGCAGCAGTAACAAAAGGCGAACAAAACCAATCTCTTCCGCACGAAAATCGAATTTTGACGATATGCGGAGGTAGCATGGTTGGCATTGGCCTCATCATCGGCACTGAAAATATATACACATCGAGTGCACAATGCCGTTGGCGCTTTTAACATAATTGACGTTTTTGATTCAACACCCCTCGATGTATGCAACACTTTTTTATGACTGCACGTTTGTCTTGTTTGTGACTGTGCGTGTGCAGTTCTGCTTGGAAAACAATCATCAATTGCTCTATAATTGTACTACAAGTATAAGCTATGAAAATCGTTAACTGTCGATAATCTGCCGTCAATTCCACCTACAATTATAATAAGAAATACTTTGGTGTTGGAATACCGTAAGAATTAAATAGACGTTTTTTTTGTCAGCCGCTTCTTCGACTCTCTTCATTCTAACAAAAATCAGACAAGTAACACGTTGGTTATCTATCTGTTGTTCGAAGGTGTATCTACCAGCGCGACAGCAACAGGGCGAAACACCTTCATGTCATTCACATACACAATCATACAAACAAAAACCAGTTGGTCATCATTCATCAATTGGACTACGCTGACTTAGCAGTTTCCATCTCATTTCAATAAACACTAACTGGTTGGTTCTCGTTTAATTAATGCCAATTAGAGAAAAGTGTGTTATGTGGGCTACCAAAGCAACCGTTTGGCTAAAAGGCTTACAAATAAGCAAATTACATGGCATATCAGTTTCTCAGTCGTTACCCCATCATCGTAAATAAAGGAGCGCGGAGCAATCGGATAATCGCCAGCAGATTCAATGTCAATGAATATCAATAAAATGGCGGCGCCATTGCGATTGTCGTTGTTTGGGCTTCCTTTCTGTTGCTCTTCCTTTTGTTGTTGCTGTTGCTTGGCAGCCATTTGGCTGCCCTTGAAGCGCACAAGGAAATCGTTTTCAATTACAACAGTTTGCCAGCAACTTTCCATGGCATGTTGCAATGTGAATGACAGACAATCAAGCGGGCTGGCAAACAGGC